CCATTCTGTCACCATGGAAAGCATTACTTTATCCCTAGGCTCTGGATCTTTTAGTTTCTTGAGATTATAGATTCCAGAGATCCCCCTCTCTCTGTCATCTTTGATTTCTACCTTTCTACTAGCTTCACAATGATGTGTAAATATACTCTGAAAAATAAAGAGTGAGAAAGAGTATTGACATCAGTATCTATAACTGCCTGGGACATAGTAACTAATATGTGATGGCTGAAAGATTTGAGTTAGCATACTCATTGGTTTATGCATAGTGCTTATGTGTAATCTTACATATATGTGGACTTTATGATAAATATTATGGTATCATCTACAGATTGTATGTTTATTTAAAATACATTTTGTGTGTGTGTGTGTGTGTGTGTGTAAGGATAGTTATGCTATGTCCTATTCATCCTAAATAGTAGCTAGTTCTTGAATACTAAGAACTATCTCACTAGTGAAAAACAGCTCTTAGATTTTTGGGAAAACATGCTTTAGCATTTTGATATCACATTTGTTTGTCAAGCGTGTAAACATAAATTTTGAGGTAGAAATTCCCATGGAGTTCAGCATTACTAATAAATAAGTTCTGGAAGGGATGTTTCAGTTCTAGATTGGTTCTAGGACATGTCAGAATTTGGGCATTTTTGTTTTCATAGATGTTGGTATTGCTACTAGGTTATAGAAATGTTGAAATCAAATATACCCTTTAATATACAGGACAAATTAAAATCATTCTTAACTCTTCCAATCATATTCCAATCTTTCTCTCTGATCATACTTACCTCCCCTTCACCCTTCCTCCTCACTCTCATCTACCCTTCTCTCACATTTTTAGCAAGAATTAATTGACAATTATTTCTCATATTAATCCTCCTGCTTTTACACATGCTCTTTTTCTGTGCTTAGAATGAAGGCTTTTTGTCCACCACATTTTGACACATAACATCATTTAATAAATCAAAATTTCACCTTTGTGAAGATTGTATAACTTCTTTAGCTGCCTATAGTAGGTTTGTTCTTATACTTTATGACATCATGTGTCAAGATGTGTCTGTTTATTTAAAGAAAAAACAAATTATGGGCCTCCGTGATGGCCCAAAGGGTTAAGTCTTAGCACTGTGAAGCTATCTGCAGCCACTGCATCATGAGTTCTACCCCCAGCCCAGGAGGTGACCCACATGGCATAGCAGACCTCTTCTGTATTACCTGCTGTTCCCCTCAGCAGTGTATTTCAGTAGATCTGCCTGTTCTGTTCCCCACTCTGTCTCTGGTGGGGACCCCCCACTATTCCCCCCAGCCTACACCCCAGCTCTTGTATGCATAAATAAGTAAAATGCATCTTAAAAATTTTAAAAAGCAAATCATGCTAATAATATACTTAAAAAATTCACTTTAACATACAAAAGTTCCCATTTTTTTCAAAACATCAGTAAACTGTAAGTGCTAATTTTACAAGCTGATGTGATTATTAAAAATGCACAGAAAGGGCCCTCCCTGGTGGC